CCAAACCAGCTTCCTGCTAATGCACACCCTGGGAGGCGGCAGGTGACAGCTCAAGTACTGGGTCCCTGCCACTCCCAGCTCTGCCCTGGCCCAGCCCCAGCTGTTGCAAGCATCTCTCCCCCATCCCCAGGGAGCTAGAGGACTAACAGCCTCCCACCCAGCAGCCCCTCATTCAGAGCTGCCATGGGCACTTTGTGCTATCCACGCTCCTCTGTGCTGGCAAGGTGGAAAGGAAACAGGCCAATGGTGAGGAATGGACTTAGGAAGCCATGATCACAATCCGGCCAAGAGCTGCTAGGGATGCAAACAAGGGTAAGAGGAAGGAAAGGGGGCGACTAGGAAGAATGGAAGTTAGAGCGACCTTGACAGCTGGCACTGAGGACTGTTGACCTTTGAGGGAGTGGTAACCAGCTTGTGTGTATTAGGGAAGAGGGATCTAAAACAGGCTTACCAAAGATGGTAGCAGGAAGACCCAGGGCATCTCAAGTGCCTACAGGATGCCCAACTAGAGATACCCAAGTAGGCTGGTGGACATAAATTCAGAAGACACTGGTGTGGAGATGGTAGGTGACAGTAGGAGAGAGAAAGCAAATGTAGAATCGGGAAAAAAAATGATCAAGGTCAAGAAGAGACCCTGGAGAATGTCAGCCTTTGAGAGCTGAGCAAGAGAGAGGTGAAGGGCAGTAAGTCAGGTCCAAAGCCAGAAGAGAAGAGCGGCAAGGAGGCCAAGGAGGAGGAAGCCACGAGAAGGAAAGAGCAGCCAATGGCATTGAATGATGCAGAGACGTCAAAGGAGGCCAAGGATGAGCAGAAGGCCTTGCTTTTGCTGACTACAGCATGGGGGACTTTCCCAGGAACCCTGTGGATGGGCAAGGCTCAGTGCGACACGCTGGAGAGGACACGGAGGAGAAAGGGAGGGAAAACTGCCAGGACCGCTGAACGGACGCAGCCCACGCCACTAGCACCAAACCAGCATCGGCCATCTGCGAGCTGGTGGGCAACACAGCTTCTCACCCGCGGCATCAGAAATTCGGAATGACTCCTCTAAAGTTTAAGAAGCACGGATATGCACAACTTCGTGAAAGCTTGTGAGCGGAGAAGAGCAGGTGGCAGCCAGTTAGGGCAGAACACTGGGCGGACATTCACACACACAAGGAGGTCCCGGGAGAGCACACGGGTGGCCTGTGTCCTTGTGACTAGCGAGGAATAGCCCCATCTGCAGGTGATCGGTTGGCATGAGGGACACTGATACCCGTGGGTAAACAGCAAAGACAAGTGCCCAGGGCAAACATGATGTCTGTTTCCTTCGGAGCACAGCTTCGTCCACCCAGGTCTTAAGTTCCACCTGGCCCCTCGCAGTAGTTTGCAGAGCAGTGATCGGCAGTGGCTATGGGCGCTCCCTGTGAGACCAACCTTGAAACAGGCCGTGGGACACCAGGAAACCTGTGTGTCTTAACAGGCAGGGAAGCTGAGAGGCAAAAGTGGATTTGCTGTGCTAATCTTGCCATCGAATCCAAAATTGTCATTCCTAATATCCTCTTTCATTCTACTTTTCTATTGCTGTCACACCAGTTATCCCAAACCTAGTGGCATAAAGCTGCAAGAACCAATTATCAGTATTATTTTTAAAGATTTATTTATTTATTTGAAAGGCAGAGTCTCAGAGAAAGAATCTTCCATCTGCTGGTTCACTTCCCAAATGGCTGCAAAGGCCAGAGCCAGGCCAGGCTGAAGCCAGGAGCCAGGAGCTTCCTCTGGGTCTCCCACACGGGTGCAGGGTCCCAAACACTTGGGTCATCCTCCAGTGCTTTCCCAGGCTCATTAGCAGGCAGCTGAGTCAGAACCAGAGCAGCCGGGTGCTCATACAGGATGTTGGCATCACAGGTGGCAGCTTAACCCGCTGTGCCCCAACATCAGCCCCTCGTCATTATTATCTGCTGAAATTCTGGGGAGTGTCTGGCTTCAGCTCGGCGATCCTCCTGTGGTTTCTGCCAGACGGTGGCGGATGCTGGAGTCATCTTCACAGTGGCCTGGGCAGTGGGGGCTGTTCTGCAGATCACCCCCTCCATGTAGCCTGAGCGTCCTCACAGCACGAGCACCTGGGCGACAAGGATCCGGCCTGGATGGAGAGCCAGCCCCATCTCAGAAGTCCCACCGCATCCCTTGCGCCACACTCGCTGTGCAAAGGCAGCCCTGAGTCCTGCCTGGGCTTCTGCAGGGGAGGCCACCGAGGCCATCAGACAAATTTGCAGAAGAGCATGTGGGCAGAAACCATTGTTTTAGCCATTTGTGCAAAATACTATCTGCCACAGGAAATCAATCCTCAGTGGTCAACCCAGTTATGACCTTGCTCACTCTGGCAGGTGAGCTCCAGCCCGGCTCTAATTACCCATGACCAGGCTGATTTGTCATTCCTGTGACCTTCCTGCGGAGGAGGGGCACGGACAGTGGGAAGGCAAATCCTCAGCAGGCCTCCAGGGCCAAGGAATCCTGCCCTGGGTCCAGCCTGGAGCTCTGGAAAACCCCAAGCCAGAGCCCCTCCCAGCTCTCGGAGTTAAACACAGGAAGGGTGTGGCCGCTGGAGGGACAAAAGGAATTGATCACCAGCCGAATTACATCAGCCCCTCTCTTTGTTCATTTTTCATTACTGTTGTTGTTCTTTTTCCTGTGTTTAATTTCTCTCCTTCCTTACTCTCCCCTAGGACCTCCCCCTTGGAGATGGGGTTGGGGGGTTTGATTGATTGGTGCTGAAAGCAGGGCGGTTGCAAGTAGAGAGAGATCACCTTACCCCGGAGATAGTTGCCATGGCAACAGGGACAGGTTGGTGGGAGGGGCGGGCAGATAAGGGCCCCACTTTGGGGTTCAGTGCATAGTGGAGGTGAAGGCTGGAGCGTTTACAGCAGAGAGAGGGAAAAGCAGCCTGAGCCGCCGGGCCGGGCTGGGGAGAAGGAACATTATTCAAAGCTGCCCAGTCTCCCCAAGTTCATGGCACAGCCACGGCGGCAACAGTGTCTGCCTGCCACCCCACCCCCCCACCCCTGTACTGACTTGTAGCCCCGAGGCTTATTATTATTTCCTCCAGGAAAAGCTTCTCTCCTCCTCCCTCTCCTCCTTCCCCACTCTGCTCTCACTGCCAAGAATCCCCGCCTATCCACTGGTGGATGAGTGAGACAGCCCAGGCTCTGGGCTCAGCCCGCATGGGTCAGGGGCACCTGGGGGCCCACCCTCCCATCACCCCCTAACATCCTGAACCTGGGGACTGGGCTCAGGGGACCGCTATTCACTGCACAAGACACAGCGGAAGCTGAGCGGTGACCACGCAGGCGTCCCACAGCCTCCTTGACACGCCAGGCCTGGCGTGCTCAGCTGAAAGGCAACTCTGGAAGCAAAGAGGCATCCGAGTTGTCAGGTAGGAAGTCAGATATGAGCTTACGTGTGTGACAAAGGCCTAAGGAGACATTTGGGCCCAGCGTATGCATCTCAAAGTCATCCCGATAATGTTTCAGGGGCAGCCCGGTATTTGCATCCTGCCCTGCCCCTTCTACCCCATAACCTGCTAAGGTGGGGGTCCCCGGCCCTTTTGCCTGATAATCTTCCAGGTGCAGCCCAGTATCTGCACTTCAAACGCTCCCAGCCCCTTCTACTTCATAACCATCCTTCCTCTAAGGCTCCTCTAAGGCGGGCAACACCAGCCAGGCTTCCTCCTGTCTGATAACTTCATGGGGAAAACTCAGGAGTTTTTCTATTTACATCCAAAAAGTCCTTTGTTCCAAGAGGGGCAGAGGTGGGGAAGCAAGACCCTTCTCCTTAAAAACCCTGGCCTCAACCAGACTGCGCGCTCAGCCATCTGCCTCTCTGCTGAGCCGCCCACCTGGCCTGGCCTGGCCAGGTGTACTCTCTCCACTCAACCATGTAACCTCGCTCTCCCCCAGTCCGAGCGACTGGGCGCGCTCTCTCAGGTTCTGTCTGGAGAGGTGCCCATCCGTTCTTACAGGTGTCCCTTCCCTAATAAACCTTGCTGTGTTACTTTCCACTACTCTCTGTCTCACGCCTGAATTCTTTCCCGCGCGAAGACAAGAACCCTGCCATTCACCAGTCACAGAGTGACTCCTCCTTCGCCAAGGTTGCGTCCAGGAGTGGACTCTCGCCCCTCCTCCCACCGCCTCCCCCACCCCATCCCTTAATTCACGTATTGCTGCGGCCCCACACTCAAGGTCTCCAACACATTTTGGTACTCTCCACTTGGCTGCTTTACCCCTGCAGGTTTCCCTCAGGGTACTCGAGCAACAAGAGGTCCCTGCGGCTGGCCTGTCTGACAGTGAACACCCCTGTAGCTCCTGGAAGGGGCAGGCAGACGCGACATGGAGGCTCTCCACCGACTCACCACCTACACGGGGGGCCCTCTGTGCAGGGTCTCGCTGCTATTCGTCCTTGGATTCTAAGGGTCCTTTCAGCGCTGACACATAGGGGGCTTAGACACACGTGCTGTTCAACGAGGGCCACACAGAATGACCGTATGGTCCAGCAGCTACACTCCTGGGTCTCCACCCGCAAAGAATTGAAAGCAGGGAGTTGAACAGGAGCTTGTACACGGGCGCACACAGTAGCATCATTCTGAACGGCAATGACAGAAGGTCGGCCAACAGAGCAATGGAAAACCAAACTGGAGTCTACCCACGCGTCGGAGTATTATTTAGCCATAAAAAGGAAGGGAATTCTGGTAGTCGTGACAATGGGGATGGTCCTCCAAAAGGTTATGCTAAGTGATACAAAAGGCCATCCAGTGTATGATTCCATTCGTGTGAAATGGCCGGGCGGTGGACTGGGAACGGTTGCTGGGGGTGTGGGGTCGCCACTAGGGGCGCTAAAATCTCCTGGAATTAGCGGCCGAGAACTTTGAGCAACACCACGGGCGGTACCGGAAATTGCAGTTGTATGACCTATGCCTTGCAGCCCCGTCGGAAAACGCTGATTGCCATGATGCTGTGCCCTTTGGTCGCCAGGCCCCAGAACCGGGGAGCTGTCACCAACAGAGCTGGCTTCCCGGGCCCAGCTCGCTGTTAGCCGGGAGAGCTCCTGATCGCAGGCACACCCGGCTGGCCTGTGACCCTTTCTGCGCTGGCCTCCTGCCTCCTCCTGGCTGTGGGAACCCAGGCGACTTCTTACCTTCTCTGAGTGGCGGTTTCCTGCCCGGTGGGTGTGCTTCCGCCTTAGATGGGATAATAAATAATACAAATGGCAACCAACAGTTAGAGAGCACTTACTGCTCCGTTGCAGGCGTGGGCAGGTACTGGCCAGTGTCCTGAATGTGCATAGGAATGGGGTGAGGGGGGTGGGGTTGTCTTGTAAATACATAGAGTCCCATTCAGCAGGTCTGGGGGCATGGCGGAGGGGCGGGGGGGGGAGCGGGGGGGCGGGGGCTGAGCCCCTGCATTTCAGATGAGCTGCCAGGTGGTGCGTCCCAGGGCCCTAATGCTTTCCAGATGTGCGTTCGTTTACTACCCCTCACCACAAGCCAGGGAGATCAGAGCAGCTCCTGTTCCCATTCTGCAGATAGAGCTGCAGAGATAAAGCGGGTGAGAAGTCTGACACCAGACCTGCCCTGCGGTGGGTAACCTTTCAAACGGATCTCAGCCTTTGCTGTTAAGAAGCCTATGAGGAGCCACCTTGACCTTGAGAGAATCACTGCTCTTCTCACAGCCCTTCCAGGTGGCTTCTGCTGTGTGGGCAGCTGAGTGCTTCCTCCTCTTGACTCTCCTGTCCAGGAAATTGTTTGGGACTCCCCCAGAATGGTGCGCCAGGAGCTCATTTCCCCGCCACTGTGACTCTTGTCTCCAATCCACAAGGCAAGGAAGCTGAGTCTCCCAGCCCCTCAGTGGGAAAGGGCACAGCTGGCGATGTCCCCGGAGCTCTATCCCCAGCGCCTACTCCAGAGCCTGGCACCAATGCCCCCCCACCAAACAACCGTCTGTGCCGTCTGTGCCTGTTATTTGCCTCTGTGTATCTCAAGTCTCAGCTTCCCAATCTGTAAAGTGGAGATGCTAATACCTCCCCAGAGCCTTAGCCTGAGAAACCGGACAGCTGAAGCGTGAGCTTTTCCCACTGTACTGCAGATGGATGGCTGGACACCTCCTGTGAGCGCAGCCAGAGAGACAGCTGCGACAGAAGCATCTGCCTGCCCCGCCAAGTGCTTTGAGTGGCTCGGACCTGGGTGTGGGAGGGAGCCTCGGACAGCTCTGGGAGAAGAGAGGGAAGTCAGGCTCAGCATGGGTCTTGATCAAAGTCCAAGAAAATATTTGGACCTACGGCATGGATGAGGTTTCCCAAGCCAGGACAATGACAGCTGGCAGCTGTCACCCCAGCCTGTGTGCCCTGTTCAGAGTCCTCCTGGGTGGAGCTCAGTGGGGGGGGGGGGTGATTGGGGAGGAGGAGGTGGGAAGCTGGGCGGAGAGAGAGCAGCCAGGACTAACTGGCGATGGGGTCTGCTCAGAGTTTGCACCAGAGGGGGCTGCCTGGAAGCGGTGCCTCCCAGAGCCCACGGAGGCTGCCCCCTCCCTCCTCGGGGATGGCTTCCAGAGGTCTCCCTGAATCCATATGTGGGTTTTGGCTGAGTGGCGGGGGCTGTGAAGGCTGGCTATGTGATTTGTTCAGCTGTCATTAGGGTAATTGCATAATATTTTCCCAAATTTCTCCTGCAGCTTCAGGCACCGTTTCCAAACTTCCTGCCCTAGCAGGGGCTCTGGTGAGAGGGGCTGGCCCTGAGCCTTCCCAGCCGCTGCTGATGGCCCCTGGGGGCAGCCTCTCCCAGCATTCCCATGGGACTCTACCAGCAGGGAGAACAGGCTCTCTGAAGTGGAGCTGTGGTGGCTTCATAGCAGACACAATGGGCACAGGCTTTTTGGCACAGCAGTGAAGTCACCACTTGGAACACTCACATCCCATATCGCAGTGCCTTTGGTTCGAGTCCTGGCTACTCCTCTGCTGATCCAACTTTCTGCCCAGGGAGGCAGCAAGTGATGGCTCAAGTACTTGGGTCCTCACCACCCACATGGGAGACCCAGATTGAGTTCAAGGCTGCTGGCTTCAGACTGGCCAAGCCCTGGCTATTGTGGACATTTGGGGAGTGACCCAGCGGACAGATTTATTCTCTCTCTCTCTCTCTCTCTCTCTCTCTGCCTTTCAGGTAGAATGAACTGAGGTGCCCATGCCTTGGCTTCCCAGGCCACCCAGGAAAGATTCTAGAGAATTCTCCATGGTGAAACAGCCAAGGAGCTCAAGGGCAGATCTGCCGGCTTTAGGCTGCAGGGCCCCTGATGCTTCTGACCTGCTGGCTGGGGGGTGGGGGTGGGGGGGCTGCACCGGGGAGAGCCTCGTCACTTAGCATCACGTCTGCTCCGACATGATGCCTCCGAGTAATGTAATTTATATTTCATGCACAATTGAAGCAGCTAATGGTGTAATTCTCCAAGGGAGAAACAAGTTGTTATAGTGTTAATTACATTGCAGGCGTGTTCCCTCTCCTTTGCCCCCCAAGTGCTCCGAGGAAAGTTACCAGGTACCCAGTGAGTGGGTGTCCCAGAACGCGGCTGTGGCGGGGTGGGCTGCCCTGATGCTGGGACAAGGCAGAGGGGCTGGGCTCGCACCACCCAGTGGCCTGGGCTTCCTTCACTGGCCTGTTCATGGCCTGCAGGGTTCTGTCATCACCAAAACTCTACTTTTAGGGATGGTGGAGTCGAGATGAGACATTTGAGAAAGGAAGCCAAACATCCAGACAAACTAAACTTGGCCTAGACGTCAGCAGCGGACACCATTTAGTTGGCCCTGGGCCTCTGAGGACAGACAGCTGGTACTGAGATCTTACTTCTGCCACTTGGAAGCTGGGAATCCCTGGGAAAAACATGCCTTCACTCCTCTGTGCATCCGTTTTCTCAGCTCTGGAATGGGGCTAATAAATTATGAGCCTCGTAGGGCTGCAGTGGGGATAAAATGAATGTCCTTGCAGTGTTTCGAATGCAACCGTCAAAGGGTTTTGGCATTTTCAGTGGAGTGCTGGAAGTGGAAATCTTCCCTCCAGTCATGGGAGCTAGTTTTAGTGAAATGGGACAAACGTGTTGCTTTTCAAAAGAGAGAGAGGTGCAGCTTTTGGAGGAATTATAGAACCATAAAGTCGAGGATGCTTCCCAGAAAAAAATGTAAGTTGAGTATTAAGAGGTAGATTTTTTTTAAACTCCTGGCAAAAGAAATAAAGAGGAAAAGTAGGCGAAGGAAGGAAGGAAGGAAAGAAGGAAGGAAGGAAGGGGAAAGAGAAGGAAGGGAGGGAGGGAAAGGGAGGTGGAGGGAGGAAGGGAAGGCAGGGGGGTAGAAGGGACCATCATGGATTCACAATACACACACACGAGTTAGGCCAAACTTCCAGGACTTCTTTTATTTATTTATTTATTTATTTATTTATTTATTTATTTTGGTAAGTCAGAGTGAGTCACCCTGGATCAGGGAAAATGAATATACACAATTGTTCTTGACTTCTGCAAAGCGCTTTTATGAAATCTCACAGCTCATCCTTAGGGAAAGGAAAGGACGAGCAAAAGTGGGCTGATGGGTAGTGTAGCTTGCTGAACTATAGCTGGCTGACCAGCAGCTGTGTTGCCTAATGTGGCTTTGAACTTCAATTCTGGTACCTGTTCCTGTATCAGTTAGGGCAGACCAAGTGCTCTAACAGGTAACCCCCAAAGCTCAGTGGCCCAAGCAGTAACCCCACTTTCTCCAGCCTAACACAAGAGGCCTTTGCCCCACCACCCCAACCACCACCAAGTCCTTCTTATACATGGACCCTTCTGTCGTTGGATGCTGCCATCCTCAGTGAGCAATTTTCAAGGCCGAGAAAGGTTAGAAAGGAAAAACATCTCAGGTGGGAGTTGCCTGCCAGCCAGGACTAGAAATCGTGCCCATCACCTGCACCCGCACTCCACTGGCCCGGAGTCTTGCCACCTAGCTCATGTAGCCGAAGGGGGCTGGGGAACAAGGTTTGGCCATGTGGCCGCGAGGAAGAAGCAGATGTGAATATCAGTGCGCGTTAGCAGTGCCTTCCAGAAGCATTGATCTCCATCGATGTGGGTCTTCAGGGAGGCCTCTGGGGGGCCAGTGGATCTCCAGCCCCTGCCCTGCCCTAAGCAACGTTATTTTTATCAGTGACTTGCCTAAAGACATAGAATGGGCCTTATTATCCCTTTGGGGTGTAACTCATTCAGGCTCTCTTCCTGGGGGGGTCTTCGGAAAGAGAACATGCCACACTGCGTGGATTCGTATCAAATGGACAAATCCAGTCCATCTGCCCAAGCTGGGTTCGCGTGTAGACACCAAGGAGCCCTTGTCTGCATTGATGATGCCGTCACACGGGGAGCTCAGCTCCTCTTCCCCACGCACTTGGCTCTGTCCATCCTTCTGCCTCCGTTCCTCCCGCCACGTGATCACCTCTATGTTGCTTTGCAGTGGAAACACCTGAGCCAAGGAAGGATAGCATCCAGTTTGGACAGCGTAGGACCTGGCCGGCTTTGGACAGGGAAGAAGGCTTCCTTAGCGAATTTCCAGGTAAGAGCACGCTAGAAATAAAAGCTATTATGACGGATGAAACGCTAAGCCTCAAAGAGATTTCGCTGGACTGCAGTGATGAGCGGAAGTCAAGGAAATTAAATTATACCTGTCAGGGACCCAGCAGGAACCATTCACACACTCGGGAAGTTTAATTGAAGAGAGTGTAATGAAGGAGCTCTTTACGGGGGCGGAGGCAGTGTTGAGCAAACTAACAAGGAATGGTGAAGCGTCCAGGGACCAGCGACTGCGGGAAGCTGCTCCCACTCGTAGGCCTGAAAAGGGCAAGGCGAACAAATGGTTTTGTCACAGTTCAGTGTGACAACCACGGCAGAGGGGCCACCAGAGAGCAGCTGTGGGTGTAAGTAAGGATACGCACCCTACAGGCATCCTGTGACTTGGGAAAGAGAGATTTAGAGGCGGGTTACATACCCAACCTCAGGACAGGTGTTTGTTTGGCAGAGAGCTTAAGAGACCCACATTCCATTTCAGAGTCCTGGGTTCGAGTCCTGACTCGACTTGCCATCCAGTTGCTGGCTAATGTGCACCCTGGGAGGCAGCAGGCAGTGACACAAGAACTTGGACTCCTGCCACCCACGTGGGAGATCCAGATTGAATTCTCAGCTATGGCAGGCATTTCATTTCCAAGAAAATAAATGAATAAATGAACATTAAAAATACACAAATACCCAACCTACTGTCTCCCCTCATTTTAAACTCCTTCAGGAACCTCCCGTTGGCCACACTCACGGCGGAGCCAGAGGGTCAGGGAGTGTGACGGGATCCACAGAAGTCAGCCGTGTGTTCAGACAAAAGACTGAAACTTGCGCCAAGTATCTGAAGCACGGACAGGCGGACTCAACTTTGGAACGCGCGCTGCCACCCCTCAGCGCCCCAGCGTATACGACATCACTCCTAGGAACTCCCGTGACAAACTGTGATTTGTCCCAGCTTTTCCCGCCACTGGCTTGCCCGTCTTTTCCGTTTGCTTGTCCGTCCTTCTGCTAACTTAAGACAGAGACGTTTGCGCCACTGCACCCTGGTACCTAACGCTTGACTCCCGGGAGATGCTCTGAGAGTACTTAATGAATGATGCGCCCCGCTAGGGGCCAGCCAAGCCCCAGTAGCAACGCGGGGAAGGCGATGCCTGCAGCCGGCGGGGCGTGCGAGTCTGCGACTGTGGCCATGGCAGTTTGAACAGAGTTCTTTGCTCTCTCTAAGGCTCAGCTCCCCCACGGCCACTGGGGGCATCTTGAAGACGCAAGGGCTAGTCTCCGGGATTCACCGCTAAGTGGCTTTGAGTGAGTGTTTTTGGTAAAGCCCAGTGGGACTGAGGAGAGAAGGCGGTAGGAACAAGTGTGTGATATCAGCCCCAGTCCCCTGGCGAGTGACTTTGGGAACAGCGGAGGTCGGAGTACAGAAGCAGAGTATTTGCCGCACACTCGCTGTTATTGATCAAGGGCTGCCCCAGGGGCGCAGAAATTCCCAGGCACCGTGACTCTCCCCACCCCGGGGAGAACAGGCTGCAGTACCCGCGTGCAGTCAGCCTGCAGAAGGCACAGGTGCAAGGTGCTGCTGGTGCACAGGGGAATGATCAGAGGATGGTCCCTTACCCCGGCACCCACAGAGCTGGCTGGAGGCTAAGGTTGCCGGGGAAACTGCTTCCCCTCACTCCACCTATTTCTGATCAAACCTGAGGCCCAGAGTGCTCTAGAGAAACTGAGAGCTAAAGGAGCCCCTCCCTCAGGAGACACCCGTTTCTTGGCCTCTGCCCTCCTCCGAGTCTCCCTGGAGTGTTGGCAGCCTTCAAGGGCGTCCTGGCTTGTTAGCCAACAGGACTTCCCCACGGTGGTCCCAAGAGCCCGCAGGGTGCGGCGGAAGCCGCTATGAGCAGAAGTAGCAAGGGTGGCGCAGTGCTCCTTGAGCTCGGCACACTGGCAGCTCTTTTGTCTTTTTCTCATCCTTCAAGTTCATGAACTGCCAAGACCCCGAGGCAGTGCGCATGGCCCGAAAGGCATGGGAGGGCGCCATCGCGACACTGCCTGCCGCTTCCTGGCTCGGCGAAGGCTCTTTGGGCTGGTTCCTGGCTTTGAGGGGCTTCAGTACTTCTCCTCTGCAGACGCTGATCCTCAGAGGCACACGAGGAGGAAAAGACTCATGGTCCCAGAGCTCATGGAGCCGGAGCCTCAGTCCCGGACGCCCTGAACGATGTGCTATGGGCTGAGTGTCTGTTTCCCTCCTCCCTGGCTCCCAATTTCATATATTGAAGCCCTAACCTCCAAATAGGAAGGGGTCAGGCGGTGGGGCCTTTGGTAGTAAATAGTGGGGTTCCCGTGATGGGATCCATGACCTTATAAGAAGAGGAGGGAACTAGGGCATGCGCTCTGCCCGCCCCTCCATGTTAGGACACAGAGCAAAGGTATCCCCCTGCCAGCACCAAGAACCGAATCTGCCGGCACCTTGAGCTTGGACTTCCAGTCTCCGGAACTGTGAGCAATGTGCCTGGTGCTTTGTGAGAGCAGCCCGAGCTGGGTAAGACAGGGTGCAAGGCACCTCCTGCCTTAAGGAGCTTACAATTTTTTTTTTAAGATTTATTTATTTTGAAAGGCAGAGTTACAAAGAGGCAGAGGCAGTGGGGAGGGCGATGTCTTCCATCTGCTGGTTCATTCCTCAAATGATTGCAATGGCCGGAGCTGGGCCAATCCAGAGCCAGGAGCCAGGAGCTTCCTCCAGGTCTCCCACATGGGTGCAGGGGCCCAAGGACTTGGACCATCTTCTACTGCTTTCCCAGGCCATAGCAGAGAGCTGGATTGGAAGTGGAGCAGCCGGGTCTCGAACCGGCGTCCATATGGGATGCCTGTGCTGCAGGCGGCGGCTTTACCCGCTACGCCCCAGGTGTGTGTGAGTTTTACGGTGCTGTGTACTGAGGTTTCCTGATAACCGCACACGTTGCCCCTGGTTACACCTAAACTTCGCCTTCCACCTCTTTTCCGGTGGTGACGGGAGCAGAAATTCCCAACATGTGAGCCAGACTTGATAACGCATGTTCCCTTGTAGTTAAGCCCCTGCCGAGTGCTTAGTGCAGCGCCTGGCCTGTGGTGAGCACGGTGTTCCCGATGGCGACACTACTGCTGCCTCTGCTGAAGATGGTAAAGCTGCTCACCCCAACAGAGCACCCCTGAGGCCAGGACCCCGCTGTGATAAACAAGGACCAAAGACTCCGAGAAGTCCATCATGTCAGACACGGGGTTCCGCCTGCGCTCACTCATTCACCCGAGAGCCAGGCATCCTGCAAAATCCAGGGCATCTGTGTTCTGAGCAAAACGGACAGGCTGTCTGCCCCCAGAGGGAGGGCTAACCGTCTAGCCAGGGAGACGGCCGGGGACCAAATAACCCCACGAAGGACGTGCAATTGCAAACGCTCTCGGCCTCCAGCGTGCATCGGAAGTGCCTGGGGGCAGTGGCCTGGTCAGGTGGCAGAGGGCTGGCCCTGCTTGCCACAGTGTCTGATTCAGGGGGCCTGTGCTGGGGCTGGCAAATCTGCATTTCTGAAGAGTTCCCAGGTAAAAGCGAGGCTTCTGTTCCCAGGCGCACGGTGTGGGAAGCACTGAACTTTGATGGAAGAGAGGTAGAGGAGTTTTTTAATCTGTGAGGACAGCCTGTGCCAGGGCCCTGGGGCAGGCAGGAGAGAATGAGGTGCTGTGAGGCCAGCCTCACTGCAGCCAGGAGCGAGGGGAAGCTGGAGAGGTGCATAATGTAAAGCCAGCAGGATGCAGAGCGCGCAGTAACCGTGTGACAACCACCCCCAGTCCGGTCGTCGGCCCAAGAGTGCTGGGAAGTTCCTGGAGGTGACAGCAGCTCAGGGTTACGGCCATATCAGCAGGGCTCTGGCTGCATTGCAAGGACAAGGTGTGAGAGGACCCAGGAGGCCAGTGAGGTGGCCCCGGGCTTCCAAATAGCCCACCGCCTGGCTGCCGCCACCCAGAAAACAGACTACAGCCCGCCCCTCTGCCCTGAGCCCACGGAGGCCGGAGTGTTTGTTTTTCAAAGGTGTAAGCTTTGCCCAGCGGCTGGGCTCACAGACAGGGCAAAGGGATCTCTTTTTGTGCTGTGCCATGTGGCGTGTGTCCCCAGAAGTAGCAAATGTCAGGCCAGAGGCTGGAAACGTGGCCTTTTGCAAACATGAAAACTGTGGCAAGAAGCAGCACCAGTTGACAGTACGAGGGCTGCTCTCTACAAATGGAGTGTTTACAGAAGCGGGAAGTTCAGTGTTTCGCAGGCTTGGGCAGGGGCATCACGCCCCTGTGTTCCAGAGGGGAGAGGGCAGGGCGTGGGGGCGAAGACTGAACTCTGGAGCCGCTCCTTCCGGGCTTGAACCCCGGCTCGGGGTGTCTTCCTGCAAGTGTCCCTCTTCCCTAACTGGAAACCAAGGCTGAGAGCCCTAAGGGTCGTGGTAGGGATAGGATGAGCTGAGAGAGAGAGTCAGGCCTGGTGTCTGTGCGCATGCTCAATGATGCGCTCTCACAATTGCTACCTTACCAGGCCTGTTCCCAGGAATTCAGAGAGGATGCTTGGGCTTACTGTGGGCCACGTAGATGGATGGCTCTACCTGTTGTGAAACTTTTTAGAAGGCTATACAGGGGAAAATTGAGAAGGCTGGAAGAAGCCCATGACGCTGTCCTGGCCTGTGGAGGCGGTGGTGACGTGCCCTGCCCACAGCCGTGGGTTGCCCTGCGACAGTTTCTGCACCTGTACCCTGGAGCACACTCGCAGTGGCTCACACCTGCAGCCGTCCGCCTCCGGGCCCCCCCTTTGCCTATGCAGGTGGGATGTACCCAGGACTGTTCCATTCCTTCCCATGCCCCCCAGCAGCTGCTATCCAATGACTGTCCCACAATCCCTCCCCCGGGGTGGGACAACTTGGAGGCACAACTTCCCCTCCCGGGCTCCTGTGTGGTAGGTACCAGGCTATGGCCACCCTGCAAGGATCTTGTCTGGCTTCCTCCATCCCCACCCAGTGTCACCAGCTCCCTTATCAGTCTCCTGGGGGATGCTGCCTTCAGAGTCACCTTCCAACACGACTCAGTTCAGGCTTCATTGTTGGGTGAGCCTTGTTGAACCCACTGTATTTTTTTAGAAGAGGGAACAGACACCCGGATAGAGGAGGTCATATCTGCATGACGTGGGTAGATGTGGGGCACTGTCACATCAAATAATTGAAGGAGGCAGGAGGAAAGCACACAGTCTCTGTAGCAGAGCAGTGGCCTGGGCAGTACTGGGAGGTCTTGCTTCTGGAGTGTGCCTGTGCGTGTGTGTGTGTGTGTGTGTGTGTGTCTCCAACCTGCTTCGGGAGTGAAAGTCCAGAGCCAGCAGACTCCAAGCGCAGCAGGCACTAAAAATAGATTGTGCTCGCCTGGGACACGAGGCTGCCTCGTCTGACTGTGGCGCTCGCTCCCTGCTGGCCTGGGAGCGCTGTTCGGGCAGGGCTGAGGACGCTGCGGCTGGAGCAAAGCAAAGGGGTTCCAAAGCCGTTGCATGGCTCACTGGCTCCACAGCCCACCCCAGAAGCCTTCTCAGAGGAGCCGCGCCTCAGGCTTCTGCAGCGAGACCTCGAAACTGACACAGACACGCGAGACAGAGACAGGAGCCAAGGAGAAAGAGGCAGGCAAAGGAACTGGCAGGGACGTGGGAAGAGAGGCAAAGAAAGAGACGGGGCTAGGAGAGACAGAGCTACAGAGAGAGAGAGCAAGACAGGAAGAAATAGAAAGAGAGGAGAGCCAGGGAGGGGCAGAGGAAGAGACAGAGAGACAGACGCCGAAAGACAGAGGCCACACACAGAGAGAAGCTAAGACACACAGAGACAGAGTGAGGGAGAAAGGGACAAAGGCAGAGAGAGGGTGAGAGAGAGGCAGAGACACATAGAGCATGGAGATTCGGAGAGCGGGAAGCGAGCAGAGGGGGCGTTAGATGGAGGAGGGAGGACTGCCAAAGAGATGGTGAGAGGGCCAGAGGGGGATGCCGGGGGCGGGGGAGCAGG